AGAAGAAGAAGAAGAAGAAGAAGAAGAAGAAGAAGAAGAATGAGGAGCAAGACAAGGAATGGATGTCGACAGACACATGGGAGCTGATAGAGTAGGGAGAGGAAGATGGTGATGGTGATGATGATGGTGATGGTGATGATGTTGATGGATGATGACGATTGATGGATGATGATGGTGATGGTGGTGATGGTGATGTTGAGGCAGAAGATGAACCAGTGCAAGGATGCACAACGAAAAGAAGAACTGAGTACAAGGTATAAAATACTACACTGGACAAAGAAGTGAAGAGGAATGCGCGCGAAGACAGAAGACACTTCCACGACACATTGGCAAGTGAAGCAGAACAGGCTGCTGGTAGGAGAGATAGACACCTGACAGGATTACATCAAATAACCAGGCTACTTACTATCCGGGAAGAGGTCAGTCAACTCAGACGAAACCAATCAAAGATACTGAAGGAAAGCTAGCTACCACCAAAGAGGAGAAACAAAGGAAACGATGTGCTGACCACTTCAAAAATCTCCTGAATCGACCACCACCAACTGCGACACACAGAAATACCACCAGCACCAGCACCACAGTCACAGTCACAGTCACAGAACTACCAGTGAACACAGTCTCCTCGACAAATGCAGAAGTCCTGAATGCCATCAAACTGCTGAAATCCGTCCGGTAAAGCAGCAGGACCAGATGGAATTCCACGAAAGCACTGGAAACGGACACAGAGACAACAGCGGACATGCTGACACCACTATTGCAGAAGCTTTTAAAGGAAGGAAGGAAGGAAGGAAGGAAGGAAGGAAGGAAGGAAGAAGGGAAGGAAGGAAGGAAGGAAGGAAGGAAGGAAGGAAGGAAGGAAGGAAGGAAGGAAGGAAGGATGGAAGTAAACGTGCCTGCAGATTGATCGGAAGGAGGTCTACCTTGTCAAACTCCGAAACAAGGGAGACCTAAGTCTCTGCAAGAACTGGCGAGGAATCATGCTGCTGTCCACCAAAGCAAAATATCATGCCGCATCATCCTGCAGTGAGTAGAGGACGCGCTGGATTCAAAATACGACGGGAACAGGCTGAGTGACTGGAAGGCTGCCTGGATGGCTCGCTGGCTGGCTCGCTGGCTGGCTAGCGTGCATGCTTGCTGGCTGGCTGGCTTGCTTGCTTCCTTGCTGGCTGGCTGGCTGGCTGGCTTCAGGAAGAACAAATCATTGCAACGCCACGCCACACTACGCTACGCTACGCATCATCATTGAACAGAACATAGAATGGCAGTCAACTGTACCTGTACCTGTACCTCAACTCCATCCACTTTGGAAAGGCCTTCGACAGCGTCGACCGAAAAGTAATTTGACAGTTGCTTCAACACTATGGTCTCAGTGCCGAAAATCCTTATCAACCTGATTCAACAGCTATATGAAGACGCCACATGCCAAGTGGTTGACAATGGAAAGCTCAGTGACGCCTTTGAAGTGAAGTGAAGACAGGAGTAGGACAAGGCTGCCAACAATCACCGAGTATCTTCCTGATTGTGATGGACCGGATCATGCAGCAGACAACCGTGAGGCGTGAGAAGATGGGCATACGCTGGCTAGACCGATGAGAAGACTCTAGAAGATTTGAATTTCGCCCATGATGATTTATGTCTGATGTCTTGTTGGACGAACTCGAAGATCTATAGGCGAAAACTAACAAGTTGACAGAAGAGGCAGAGCAGCGAAAACAGGACTTCAGGTGAATTTAGAGGAGACGGAGTTGATGAATAAACCCAACCAACAACAGCATGAACAACAAGAGGCACCAATCACCATGAACGGGAGAAACCTAAACGGAAGTAGTCTCCTTCACCTACCCACCCACCTAGGCAGCATCGTTCCAACTACAGGCGGTACAGGCACAGACGAGGATGTCAAAACCAGGATCGGAAAGACAGCAAGACAGGCCTTGTTGCATTGATCTGAAATCAGTGTGGAGATCCACGGCACTAAGCACAAAGCGTGAACAAGATCCGGATTTTCAACACTGAGTCAGTCAAGTCAGTGCTGCTATATGGTTCAGAAACTTGGCGTGTCACGAAAAGCACTACCAACAGACTAAAGACATTGATCAACACCTGCCTACGCTCACTCGATACTGAAGATCTGATGACCAAAATGACAAGAATAAGCAACAAGGAATTCTTGCATGGCAACCAACCTATCAACCAAGAAATAGGCAGAAGAAAGTGGAGATGGATAGGATGAGGTATAAACTGAGTGAGTGAGCGTGAAGCCAATGAGACACGCTCAGCTGAAACCTACATATCGATATTTAGTGATTCATGCAATATTCTGGTGATTTTACTCAACGGGGGATTAACTCGTGTATCATTTCTGTTGTAGTTGGCTGAAAATCAATCTCCAGTTGTCGTGATACTCTTGTGTTCTCTCATCTGAATGCTTGAATCGTGCAGATTTCATCGTCATTATTCTAGACATAATCATCAGCACAGATTGCAGAAGAGAACTAAACACCACCAAGATTATACCCCTTCCCTTCAGATTGAAGTTGCCTCATCAACAAAGCTAACTCAGTGTCTCAGTCATATCTGTGTGAGCAAAGAATGTCTCAAATAACAATCTCTCATACTTCCTTCATCATATTGAGTAAATTACAATGATCATTTCAGATGGCAACGGTCCAGCTTATCAATACACATTTGACGTTCATACTGAACGTAGTCAAATACAACGAATACATGAGGACGACCTCCAGCTGATCAATACAAAAACCTCCTGATTCTAGTCATCTCTAAAGAATTCAAGGAAACTCACACAGTCCTCACTGAACCAATATAATTGTGCAATTTGTGTGTGTTTAACCATGAAAATGTTATTATCCGCATATATCAGAGATGCAGACATAAAAATTTCTTCTCACCTTGGAATTCGGTAATACCATCCGTGAGTTCACTAACTGTTTGTTCATTATCTGAAAACCATAGACAGCAGACAAGTTATAATGTTGTTAATGGGTTGATAATAAACATCACAGTGAGGAGTTGTGCACAAAGCAATCACCTAATTATCTGGATCGATGTACCTATTCACAGTTGGTAAGTGCATATCGAAGCTGACGGATGATACTTGAGACATGACTAGTAGCACACTGATCATAGTCATTACAGGACGCAGTTTGAATGGCTTCATGTTCACGCCTCACTCCTCAGTGAAGCATTAAAGCAAGTTGATGGAATTGAAATTCTCTGAAACTGTGCACAATGATGTGAATAGGTGGAGAAGCCGTGGCGTCTTTCACTCATTCAATAAACTTCCTTGAGTACACTGCTTTCTGCCCCATCATCATCACCATCATCATCAACATCATCAGCATCATCATCATCATCATCATCATCATCATCCCACTAGCAGATCAGTAATCTCCTTCACTATATTAGTAAATGTCTTCAGAGACACACAGATATATTGAAAAGGTGTACAAAGACAACGAGATAAATTTCATCATTCGCAACTCGCCTGATGTCAAAGGAATTAACAAATACTTCGACTAGCCTATCGATCGGAATCACCACTCAGTCAGTGTTACATTATCCTGTCGAGGTTGGTTGGTCAACTGACGTTGAAAGTGAATGCCGTAATCGAATAAATCTGTCATACCATATATGACACAGTTGACGACTGTTGAATCTTGTTTCATTCACTTTGAAGAATTCCCACTTCCTGTTAAACTACTCCCACAATAACTATGCATCTCATGATTGATCGCGACGTTGAACACCTCTGTTCTCTCTCCTCTCACTTGTGAGATTGACATACAGCAGAGAGGAGAAACAACTGAATCAATCACATTCTGATTGAACATGCTCAGTATTGTTGTAAAGCAGCTGGTTAGTGAAAGGTCAGACAGAAGTGGATGTGTGTCGGATCGAATGACCGATCAAAATGAGAATATCTCGAA